TTCCTCCTTTCCCCTCTCTCTCTCTCTCTCTCTCTCTGTAGTTGCAACCAGTACTACTGGATTCTACATTTCTCTCAAGCTTCTCCAGAGCTCCAAAGGAAGCTGCCTCCCATCAAGGATGAGACAGGCACACTTCAGCTAAAGAACACGAGCATCTTATCTTTATCTGCTGTCTTAAAGCCGTTTTCTATCATTCCTTTCCCACTTCAAGCCTCGTTAAGATCCCAAAGCTAGGTAGAAGAACCGCGGTGAGACAGTACGCGTCGGCAGCAAATGTTAAGGAGCTCCCCTCAGCAAGCAGTCTCTGCTCTTCCTGTCAACAGCGTCTCCTGCTCTACCGCCTCCAACCCTCCACGGACTCCCATCTCCTCGGCGGATGATGACAAGGCCGGCAAGAGGAAGAGAAGGCCTGCGGGCACACCAGGTATGTGGCCGGTTCGTCCTTGAGGCCATGGCGAATTGTCGTCCGACGGGTTGTGCATGGCTGATCGAGTTTGTGGAAATTGTGGGTGGGCAGATCCTGATGCGGAGGTGGTGTCGCTGTCGCCGAGGACGCTGCTGGAGTCGGACCGGTACGTGTGCGAGATCTGCCACCAGGGGTTTCAGAGGGACCAGAATCTGCAGATGCACCGGCGGCGGCACAAGGTGCCATGGAAGCTTCTGAGGCGGGATGCGGCGGAGGCACGGAAGCGGGTGTTCGTGTGCCCCGAGCCCAGCTGCCTGCACCACGACCCCCGCCACGCTCTCGGCGACCTGGTCGGCATCAAGAAGCACTTCCGCCGGAAGCACAGCGACCGTCGGCAGTGGGCCTGCTCCCGGTGCTCCAAGGCCTACGCCGTCCAGTCCGACTACAAGGCGCACCTCAAGACCTGCGGCACCCGCGGCCACTCCTGCGACTGCGGCCGCGTCTTCTCTCGGTGGGTACATCGAACGCTAGTGCTCACTTCTTTTCATAAACCGCCGGTCAAAGGTCACGATCTTTTCCTTCTTTAATCTTCTGGGAAATGATCCTTCGTCTTTGTTGCGCCGATCATTTCTTTGATGTTCGAACGATCATCGACTAAGGGTCCGATCAAGCTAGAATTCTTCCAAGTTGTTGATTAGTTTTCCGGAGTAGTATATCCAACGATCCAAGAATTCAAGATGGGAGTCTGTTGGGGCTTCTTTAGATTCTTCTGTGAGAGAGCATGAATGAGTGTAGGTCTACTACATTCATGGCCTCTGCACTGCACACGGTTCCCAATGCTATTACCACTCGATTGGTTGGTTTCATGTTGTGTTCATGTGTCTGCGACCCAATTGAATGCCTACCTACATGTCTCCTTCCATGTGTGCGCGCAAGAAATCCATCACATCATCTAACATCGATCCTTCTTTTGATCGACGACAGAGTCGAAAGCTTCATAGAGCACCAAGATTCTTGCAGCGCCACTCGGACCTTCGGCGAGCCTGCGACCCCACGGCCCTCCAGCCTTTCCTGGACGACGTCGAGCACAAGTCCGTCGACTGAGCCAACACTTTCCGGCCGAACAACCTCAACCGCCGCCGCCGCCGCCGCTGCCGCTGCCGCAGCATCATCCCTACCACTCGCGCTCCATGTGCTCCCAACATCCACCTCCTCCCCCGACTCCGACGAGGCCCAGGCGACGGTGCTGCAGCTATCTATCGGGCCGCCCGTCGGTGGCTTCCCCTCGTCGAACGCAGGTGGTGATCCCCGGGAGCAGCTGCGCCAGGCGGCGAGGGAGAAGGCCTTGGCGAGTGATGCAAGGCAGCAAGCTTTGAAGCAGGTCGAGATGGCAGAGAAGGAACTGGCCAACGCCAAGACGATCCGGCGGCAGGCGCAAGCCGAGCTCGAGAACGCCTACCTCCTGAGGGACCATACAGCGAAGCAGATCAACCTGATGCTTCTCCAGATAACTTGTCACTCCTGCAGGAAGCAGTTGCAGTCGAAGCCCGGCACGGTATGGGAAGAGGGACCAAAGGCGGCAGCCAGCTATGCGCCATCGGCCATGGCGGAGAGCAAGGAAGACGACAGCAATGATGGGAGTCACTTCCGAGTATCTCCTAACACACAGCTCTCTCCATAATTAGATTACTTCTTAATATATCGGTGTATTTTTTGTTGGGTGATGATGCCTCCATGTTCGAGATGGCATATGGGATGATGAAAACTTTGGCTCCTTTGCTTGCAGTAGCTTTTGATCATTATTATTTGCAGAAAAAAAAAAAACAAAGAAAGTGGGATTGAATTTGATGTTTCCTGTGAAAGTTGGTATCCGGTCATGATGGATTATGTATTCTTTTGATTGGGTTTTGGTGATATTGATTCTGAAAGAATTGTCATACCCCATATTAACCTTTTTCTTCTGGTGGAAACAAGCAATCTTTTAGGAAATAAAATAATTACACAAACTGGGATGAAAGATCAAAGATGATCACATCATACTCGAATTTCAACTTCAGCTATATTCTCTTCGAGTCTTCTGCTGGGAAAAAGGAAAAAAGAATTTGTTGTTATATTTGAATGCCATAAAATCAAAAAGATCAGCCTCTTCAGCTACTACTGCTCTCTTGTCTTCTCATCTGGAATGAATATATTTATCTCCATCCATGTCAGATCACTCGGTAAATATATGTAGTCAGAGAAGTGGTCTGTACTGTGCCATATTTTTCAGTGCTACGTTGTGGTTATAGCAAATATATATATATATATATATATATATATATATGTCTCTCCTGTGTGTCAGTGTGTGAGATGTCTGCTGTCCGAGTATAAATGGCACTGACATGGAAGGGTGGCAACCGGGGGAAAGGACGGGAAACAGATGCATCTCAAGTCCCACGGTAGCGTGTGCTGAGCATTGAACGCTTGACCAATTCGACCATCAATGCTTGATTTCGATTTTGACCTCGAGTCCGGTGTATCATCCAAGCTGGCCCGTCCTATTTCGCCTCTTCTGGAGAAGTCGATCTTAGATGAATATTTCAGGATGAGATTAATGAAGGAGATAAACAAAAAGAAGATTAATTTAACACGATCGCAGTGGCTTGCTTTTTATTAGAACAAAAAGCTACATCAAAATGATATGAGTCGATGAATAGAATCGAGGATGTTTGTTTCTGAGCGAGAGGAGAAAGTTTGGTGCGGTGCTACTCATCATTTCTTGGCCAGGGCAAAGCTGGACGTGAGGATGATGAAGGCCATGCACACGGTGGCCACGAGGACGAAGCCGGTGGAGACGTGCACCAAGTCCAAGGCCTTGTCGATGTCATTTGTGACGGAGCTCTCCCCGTCGTCATCCCGGAATGCCTTGTCCAGATATCTCTTCAGATCCACCGTGATGCCAAATCCAGCCCCTACCCCCGAGGCGAACAGAAGAGAGAACACCTGCTCATTAGGTCACGATCGAGTTCCATCAGTAATCTGATTCCATGGAGGGAGAGAGGGCGAGCGAGCTTCATGATCTCTTACGCCTAATGGAAACATGCGAGTACCAGATCAATGAAGATATAGAGTGGGAAGGTGTTCCTGCCGATGAACTTTTTCCCTCTGATGATGTTCAAAGCAGCAAAAGGAAGTTGTAGGAGCGTGTAGACGCATCCGATCACGGCCACAGAGAATACGTATCTGTCATGCACGACACAAGAGTTAGAGGTGCACAAGTAACAGTAGTACCTGAGAGAGAGAGAGAGAGAGAGAGAGAGAGAGAGAGGAGGAGGAGGAGGAACGATCGATGGATCCATCACCTGTAGGCAATTACATCCTTGAAACCCAGCGTGGTTGTTACAGACTCGCTATCTGAATCTGGATCGAGCACTGTGACGGTGTCGGTGGCGATGACGACGAGGGAAACCAAGAGGAAGAGGAACACGAAGACCCTCAAAACCAGGACGGTGATCGACCCAGCCTTGGTCGAAGAGGCCATTCCCTAGAGCCGCGTGAGCTGATATTGCAGCGGCCACCGCTGTGCGTGTGGAATTTATGGTGGTGATGCCTCGGACAAGGGGTAGTGCATAGATATGTTCACCAGGGAGCGTTGGTGTTGACGTTGGCTTTGGGCCTGCAGGTTTGGCTCCTTCTTCTCCAATGAGTTCCAACTGCTGCTTAGTAAAAGCTCTAGTACGCTTGTCATGCACTATGCACTATGCACTATGCACTGGAGAGGAATCCCAAATTGAATATATATATATATATATATATATATATATATATATATATATATATATATATATATATATATATATGGTTGATCTTCTTAATCGATTGTGAAATGGCTGTGGATCCGAATCACAAGGTCAAGGTTAGCTCGATATGCATGGTCTCGATTTCAAGCCATGTCACGCACAAAGAACCAACCATCTTACAGAATAAATCTCGAAAGGAAAAGAAGCTTCCACCTCCGATAGAAGATTATTGCCGGGTGTCTTATCGTTTCTGACGGGTAAGTCACACACAATTGAATAGCTTCATAGTCTTCTACTAGCTAAGTGAGAAGAGAGAAAAAAAAGGAAAACATTTCCTCTATGACTTCATAGTCTTCTATAAAGTAAAGAAAAAAACCTTAAATTTGTGATGTTCCATGAAAATTAATTCCATGTACAACAAACAAGGTAAAAGGAACTAATCAAATAGTTGAAGAATGTAAACGTCTCTAAACTAAGATTGCCTACGACTCCTGCTGCAGAGCTTACAGTTGGAACATCAGCCCTTGGAGCACATTAGATCGAAGAAAAAACATGCTCCCAGCTCCTCTTAGCACAAAATCTTCTCGAAACAAGCCATCAACACTGCAGAACAGATGTTTAAGACTCGGGACAAAACCAGCGACATTTCGTAAGGCCTCATACTAATCACATCATATACAACACGACATGGTGCTTTCTCCATAAACGGCATCACATAGTGCATGCCAACTACATTCTGGCTTAAGACAAACAAGTTAGATTACAACAGAACTACACCCCAAATGGCAGTCGGCTCCTACTGTCGCACGTGAGGCACCGCAGTAAGCAGCAAACTGATGGAATGATACTTGGGCTTCTTTTGCGCTTAGCGTGCACCACAAATACACATCAGCTTGCACTGCAAATTGGGACTTTCTCCGGTGCAGATCATGCAGCCACTATTTCTCTCTTAAGATGATATTGGCTCATAAGGATAGGAAAGCCATGGATGTTGCAGAGCCTCCGAGGCACTTGGTCGTTTCTTTGGGTTTACTTCAAGAAGATAAGCAACAAAGTCAATAAAGCCTTGATCACCCATCGGCAGCCGGTGATGTAATGATGTCTTCTTTGGGATCAGATATTCTAACCTACTGGTTTCCTGGATGGAAGTGTAGTTGAAAAATCAACACTTAAGAAAGTGGTGGCAACATTTAATTATTTCTTATATGATGGTTGATAACAGAGAAAAACAAATGCCCCAACAAGGATAGATGCTAGTTTAACAAGAGCCATTGCATGGCAAAAGTCAAAAGAATAAGCATCAAGTATGTGTTACGTTTCATATTTTCAATAACCTTGAAGGATATATTTGAAATGCAACCACATCAATGGAAAATGATTGTAAAGATTTGAGATGAAACATCCTGAAATGCATCATCCGACTATGTTGTCTTTAAATGTCTAAATAGGGATACGCAAGATGATAAATTTTCATATATAGTCCTCGACCAGTGTGTCTCTATCAGTTTATATAGAAGGCCACAGCACTAGATAAAAGGCAGAGTAGATTATTCTCGGTAATAGATCAAGTATCAGAGATCTCAAACCTGATTCCTTTCATATAACATGTGGTTCTTTGTGAAATATTTGTGTGTATCACATCCCTTTGCAAGCATCCCTTGGTCAATGGGGCCAACGATTCCGATCACACGGGCCAGCAATGTTGCAGGAGAATCATTTTGGAAGAGAACCTGTGGAAAAGTGACATAACAAATCTTTTAGTAGCAAAAAATAAAAAATGTAGTCACCAAAAACCTAATAGATTTAAGAGAACAATATACACCAGATCTTATTAAAGTGAATACAAACTTTCTAAGAATGGTGAACAACTATATTAGGTGGGAAGGCCAACATAGATGGTGAAGAGTCCTTTGGCACCATCAGTCGACTTTGTTAGGCAACGTGGTCAAGAGAAAGGATGAAAACCCCCTATTCTTGCTATCACAGATTTAGCCCCTTTTTGGTCTTAAAACAATGACATATGGATATGGACATGAAGAACCAATTTTGGCATCTCCAAACCCCCTAGAATGAGACAGAAAGATGAGGCAAACATTCAAGGATAGAAAAGTAAATTCAACAGACAACGACAAGTCATGTTTCAACTTTATGAGAAGATAATCCTAGCAGATACATTCACAGAAAGCTGAACACAAAGGAATCATGTTTCCATCAATATTAGAAATCAATAGTCAAGGAGTTTGATGAGTGTAAAACCTGACGAAACATGGCCAACACGATTCTACATGTTCTCTTAAATGTGTCATTATGACCATTGATGGGCATAGGCATGTAGAATTTGTCAGCAAAGAAATGCTTCTTATCAAAGACTGACCTTGTTAACCTTGGACAACAACAAATTAATTCTATCCAAATCATACTCTACAATCAGATCTCCCAAGTATAAGAATAAAATAAAAGAAAGAACAGCAAAAAAATAAACAACTTAGTTAAAAGACATGAATGTATAAGTAGGGAGAAAAGCTACAAAAGAAATGATTGCACGAATTTGAACCGAGTGCTGAACAACAAAAACTTCAATGAGTGACTTGCAAGGGGAAATTCCAAATCAGAAACTTACATTTCCAGTGCAAAGTTCAGCCAAGATGCATCCCAGCGACCATATGTCTATTTTTTTATCATATGGAAGACCTAAAATAACTTCAGGTGCGCGATAAGATCGTGACTGTACATAAGAACATAAATGATCTGTTTCAAAGCAGCTACTACCAAGGTCAATGACCTTAACTTCACACCGACTGTAGCTCTTTACCAAAATATTCTCAGGCTTCAAATCACAATGAATAAGACCAAGGCCATGCAAAAACTGAAGTGCCTCCAGACACTGAATAGTAATCGACTGCAGAAGTAAAGTAATTCATACATTAGCAATTTTAGTGTGATAGGAACAGTAAGATTCTTATCAAAAGTAATTCATACCTGCAGTCTGGGCATTGTAAAGTAAACCTCCCCTCCAGATTCTCTATTGAACTTATGAAATTCATATAAGTTGGCCTTGAGGAGTTCACAAACTATCAACAAGTGCTCCTGCACAAATTAAAAACATCAATAAAAAACAATCAAATAAAGTTTTAAGCTCTATCATACACAAATAGGCAGAATGCAAAAGGATTTGATAAACAATACCAAACTCACTACATCATCTACAAAATTAGCTTCTTTAGGTCCAAAATATTTGAAGCAAAAAAAATACCAAGGCCTTGGTACTACGGTAAGGTTGCTCCTTTGCGACAAGGGAGATCTGGGTTCGAGTACCAAAAAAGACCTCTTTAAATATTTAAAGATAAAGTTGTATATATATATATAAACTGTGACAGATCTGAGTAAGATGTGCATATAAACTTACTTTTGAACTTTTCTTTGTTAAGACCAGTCATTCAATATTAAAATGTAAATGTTTCTCTTTTGTTGCCACTTTTTTAGCTCAGTTTCTTTATTTATGTAACTGAGATATGATCTTAGTTTCTGAAGTCCAAATGATCTAAGTCAGATTTTTTTTTTTTTGCATATCTTCTTGTGGGAAAAAATAATCAAGGTGCTAGAGGGGCTGAGACAGGCCAAGGCTGCGGAGACTGAATAAATGCTTTAAACCTTTCAATAATTCATAATTGCTCTTAGCTCTGTGCCCCTACTGTGTAGACACCCACTCAACACTTCCACCCAGAATTTAAACTCATGATGAGAATGTATGAGATTATAGATCAAAGCTCCAACATCAGAGGCATACATCATAAAATATCCACGAGAATGACCATGAAGAAGACAAGTGAAGTCTCTATGCAAAAAGAATACAGTGATCAAAATGGAAATCTTTGTAAGACGTGATGAGTATCAAATCCATTAGGAAAAGAATTTGCTTTAATTTAATTTCCAATCTTGCACTTGACACATTTAATATCTTCACATGAAGATGAAGATAATTCAAATTAATTAATGACATTGATCATCATTCAGTTATGAGGTTGTTTTCGGAATTCTGAATCGAAAAAGTTTGTTTCCTGAAGACGTTTAAAAGTTTATCAACATCAACTGTATGTTCTGAAGACACCATGTGTCGATGTTACATATTTTATATAAAAGCTACCCAACTCGGGCAGTGTTCGTTAAGAAGAATCAACCGTATGCAGGACCATGATGCAATAAGCTTCTAGAGATATTGTCACATAGATCTAACAAGACATTTCGTATAGGCTTTTGAAACTTGATAGAGCAAATATGTGAAATAACGTGGTTCTTCCAAACTAAATATACACAAAATAACAAGGTTCCAGCAAATTTCAATACACCTAAAGCAGGGTTTGCTATACCGATGCGTACTGGTACAACATCTGTGTCGATGCGTACCGGTACACCTAAAGTGGGCGGCATGCATCGGTCCGACAGGATATTGGTATGTAGACCGCCCTCTACCGGGCGATACCGCTCACTTGACCTTGTATCAAGCGATACGAGGTATGTACCGAGCGATAACGGTTGAAATCCGATCGTTACCAGAGGTCTGAATAAGTATTAGAGGTCTATACCGAGCGATAATGGTCGAAATACAATTCTACAATGAAGATTCAGAACCGATGTTAGAGTAGATCGAAGGGGCGAAGAACCAAGGGGATCCTCGACTTGATGAGGTGGGAGATCTTCAACGTCCTTCATGTTTTATTACCGAGGTAATAGAATAAGAAGAAGCACATCCCCAATTGGCGAAAAATCCCCCTCGGTCAGATGTGGCGGAAAGAGCCAGACAAGATCGAGTCAAATTGCTCTTGGAACTAGAGACCCAACGTCACAATTGTTCACCCAACGTACAAAGGCAAAGGTAAAAGGGAAGGCAATAGCATCAGCTGTACTGTTGGAAAGAATCAAGTCGGGAGATGAGACATCTTCGCAATCGCATTCAACAACTCGCTCGATCCATAGACATGGCAACAACGTGGACCGCAGTGCCTCGACCAATGATGACGGTGATGCCGAGGAGTTGATGGTCTCGTCTACACAATGTAAGGGTAGTGCATGGACCGAGGAGTAATATTTTACACATGCCACTCAAGATTCAGATCATAGAGCTCGACGAGGTACTGGTCAAGTTTATGTACGAAAGGGGAAGGGAAAGCCAATGAATGATTTTGAGCAGATGGGACAGAGACTACACGACGTAGATACAGAGCGAAGCTCATCGTATTCACAGTCATCATATTATGGAGAATCTTACAGCCAATAGTAGTACAGTGATAATTGGTCATACTTCTCCGAGCAACACTACGACGATCGATCATACGATATGAAGCAATAGATCAGTAGCGAAAGTAGAGGTTCTAACATTCACTATGCTCCGCACCAATACATGCCACATTCGTCATTGCCTAAGGAGCTGCCTCGGACACGTGATTCGTGTATTAGTACACTATGTTGTAGGATCAATTTCAGGATTGGGTCCGACAAACATATCGTATTGACATACAGATACATAGGATCGAGGACCCCGATCCATCGCCCGTCGAGTCTCATCGTTTTTTTTGTGGTAGAACCAGGTATATCCATCGATTGATTACTTAATTCATTTGAATCTTAAAGTTGAAGTTATATAAAAAATAATCTAACAATTGAAATAATCTTTTTGTAGATAATTCAATACTAACGGAAAGACGATATGGAACGTACTGCAAAGCTACTCCTTAAAGTCCGAAAAAGATATGTGGGACTATTCGTTCCTAATTTATATTATTTTTGCTAAAATTATACGAAACTTATATTTATTTCTAACTTAAAAACCTTATTCTAACTTTTTTTTATTTTTATGCATTTTTGGAGGTTTTTCAGCTTATTTTGGTCGTACCATCGATATGCCCCGCCCCGGGGTACTATCGGTACACCTTAGTATGTACCGTACCGAGTAGGGTTTGGTACACCGAAACCGACCGAAATTGCAAACCTTGACCTAAAGGACCAAAATACCAAACAAGGATCCTTTTGCAACCAGCAACGCAATGATTCAGATTCAAAAGTTACTTGTACTAGAATTCAGAGGATCATTATCATCATACTGGGTGAAGGTAATGTAATCAGTTACAATCAATATACTCCTGTTGTTATTAATAGTTGATGAATATATCAGCTTTAAAACAGGAAGCATACCAGAAACTATAAATAGACAAAGCATAAAATAGAACAACTATTTAGATCAAAGAGGAACAAAGATGAAAATGAGATAGTAAGGAGTGACAATATTGGACTTCAAAATAGCCAATGGTTTTTCCATTTCTCCATTGAAAGCTCTTTTCCAATATATGGTGGTTTACAAGTAAAAAAAGTAGTATGCAATCATGTATTCTTGAACAAGCAATGTTATTATCTAAGGGAATTGATCTTTTTTAACAATCATCTCAATCTCAAACTAGCAATTTCAAATCAAATATTAAGACCTTTGATGACTCTAACATGTATATCTTGTCCTATGATCAATTATTCACCTTTATGGTGATATAAAATTCTACTTAAATTTTCTACAACAACCTCCAGCATGATCTTAACATGATAACATATTAAATTATACACAGCTGTTGTGGAAACCTCTCTTTCAAGCAATACAAACATTCCTAGAAAAAATAACAAGTGGTTGTAATTGTTTACTGATACATATTAATAATCAGCGAAACTAAAAATTAACAAAATGAACTCAAATAAGAATCACAATTAAGAGTTAATGATCGAGAATAATATTGTACTCACCCGATAATAGAAGTAATCATACAAACGTAAAATATGATACTTGTCAGCAGGATCATTCTTGTTGACAAATTTCAAAAGCTTGATTTCATCAAGGCTCTGATCAAAGAAATCTTTGTTATTTTTAATAATCTTCACACAGACGTCTGTACCAGTGTGCAGGTCATGTGCCTGAATCGCTTTGCTAAATGCAGCGGAACCCAAGTATTCGGTAACAAGATACCGTCCAGCTATAACAGAATTCAGAACCACATGAAAATTTTTGTCTTCTTCAAAACCAGTTCTGGCAAGTGACAAAAAGACGGGAAATGTAATGTCAAAACAGAAAACAAGAAAGAACAAGCAAAAGCGAATGCACCTTTTTCACAAAGAAAGAAGAAACCAAATAAAACACCGAAGAGGAGAAGAGGAAGTGGAAAGAAAATGCAGGAACAAGACTAGTTATACAATGGTCAGAACACTGCCAGGAAAAGGAACAGATAAAGATAAGCATGCCTGTTCTTCCGATGCACTATCTTAAGATAGAAAGTCTCAAATTCGTCCTCCTGTGTTTGTATCTGTCTTATTTGCTCCTGTAATGCCGCTACTTCATCTTCTAATGTTGCTCCAGGGTCGTCTTCCCTTATTTCATTTGTCTCATGGTGCGCTTTACTAATGCTCTCTGTTCCAGCGTAGCCATAGTCTGAGCCTGATGATGCACTGGAGTTTCTTGATCTAGCAACACCAGAAGTCACCTCATCTCTGGAGCTCCTGACGGGAGAAGAATCACTGCTTTTTCTCCTCCAAGTGGCAAGTGTATCCTCTGCTACTATGCCATTTGCATATTCACCAGCAATGTTACCAACTACGACGTGGGCTTTGCTTGAACATAATGATTTACCAGAATCAGCCTCCAGCATGCCTCCAGTTCCCAATGGAGGTAGGAAGGAAAAGCCACCCCCAGTGCTCACTCCTGACAGGCTTATATCCTTTTTATTTGCCCAGATGTTACTATTCTGTTTATTTTCCCTCATCTTTTCCTTGTTTGATCTATTCAAATCACTATCAGTTGAATCATTTGGATAATGCCTTGCGCCTCGTGCACTGACATCATGATCAGGAAAGAATTCTGTGTCCCCTTCACTACTTCCTCCAACCAAGCTTCCACGAACTTCACTGCCAATGTCAGCAGCATCACTACTTATGCCCACACCAACTGACCTAACTGAACCATGCTGATCATCTTCTGTAAGAGGATTCTCTTGACGACTTCGTTCGACATCACTCGCACCTTTCCCATTATCCAGCATTATTAGTCCATTATTTTGTGTGACAAAACCCTGCCATATAGGTTCTGAACGCATCAAACTTAGTTCTTCTGCATCCATCAACTGCCCATCATAATGAGCTATTAGATCGTTCTCATCTGTTCTGCCATACATTTCTAGCATCTTATGATCCATTGGTGCCTCCGAAATGGCAACTTGTTCAACATTTTTTGTCTGGAAATACTGCTCTCCTGACAAATATGAATCTTCCTCAGCAAAAGAATGATCATCGTCATCCTTTCTGGGAGCCTGGTTCTGGTGATCAAGCACACTTCCATGACCTGTTCCTTTTTCATTATCACTTGGATAATCAATTTCATGCGCCAGAAACCAGGTTTCATCTTCAATGGGTTGTCTTGTATATCCAACATCGTCATCATCGTCATACTCATCAGAATCCCAATACTCATTTGGGTAGTCAACAGATTCATCACCAACAGTAGCAAAACCAGATACCAAATCAGAAGTATCCTCAGCAATACCTTGACTTACAGACAGCCAATTAGTTCCAATTGTTCTCCTGCCACCTGTTATAAAAATTTCAAATTTTGAAGAAACAGTGGATTATCATTAAAAAGAAAAGAGATCATATGTATCAATCAATTAGAATGTAGTGTGGCAACAAAACACCTTCAAAGCATTCCCACCTTAAAATATCAACAAATAAATCTTGAAAATCAGTTTTCTAGAAGGTCAAAAGTGAACAGAAACTTCATCACGAGAATCATGGGACTGGGAAAAGCAAGCCAAGGTTCATGGTTCTGGCCCCCAAAAAGAATCTATTTCTGCCAAAACATACTGGGACATTTGAACTCACAAAGACGGAAGGTCAGGATTTACTCTGTTTCAGCCAAATGTCTCTGCTCTGTTATCCATGTAACAAAACCCGAAAAATCAGGTATCAGCTTAAACTTACCAATTTTAACAGATGTGACTGTGTTTAGACCCACTTTGAAAGAACCTAGCAAGATCCCACAGAGGAAAGGCACTTTCCTCTAGAGAGGCCAAGATTATACTACCTAAGAAAAGAGTGGTACGAGATATTCTGGGATCATCTTTGAGGTTTTTCAATACTTGATAACAAGTATAGTTATTATGTGCTTAAAATTTTAGTTTTCGACTTCTACAGTTTTGTACGAGATATTCTGGGATCATCTTTGAGATTTTTCAATACTTTATAACAATATAGTTATGTGCTTAAAATTTTAGTTTTCGACTTATACAGTTTTGTGATCAACAAGGGAAGTTTTGAAACATTTGGCTCAAAAAACCAAATTTTACCAGTTACTATCAACTACATATGGTGCACGTCCTAAACCACATTTACTTGGAGAGGACAAGAGGTGTATTAATCAACACAAGGAAATCTAGAACGAAATTAGAGGGGAAAAGCGTAAAATAAATTAGGATTGAGAAGCCCATAACCCCATACCAACCAAAAACTTTCAAGGAATACTAATACAGACCTTTGAGATTAATATATATGCAGATGAGTTATGGGCACTGTTAAGCAGATACTTTTGCAGTTATTAATTAAATGGCTGGCCCTAAACTCTGTAGCACCAAAAATATTTCAACAGAATTAGGTAATAATCCAAAATCAAAAAAATTAAAAAATGCATTGGCTAAGTATACTTCTAAGGCCGGGCAATTATTGGCTAAGAAACTATACATACAACTTCAGCTTGTTCTTAAGCTATATTAAGGCAAAAGCTCATGTTCATACTCTATAATCAGCAAAGTTTTTAGTATACTATCATAGTGTTATGGATTTTGTACATGCTATGTGTCGAATCCAAGACATTGGATTTCACCCTATTTCACTACCCAGAAATAACAAATGACAGTGACTCAAAAAGTTCCCACAGCCCAGGTAGTAAAATGCTAAACTTTAACTTTCATGGAACTTTCTCCAAAGCAAATTGTGGGCTTGCCATAATGTCCTTCAAACGGATCATCAGCAAGCATCTTACAGGGTTGTTTATGATTCTAGCAGTGATAGCAAAACTACAAAAGATTCAATTCCTACTTAGATTGATGCATCTCACTCTCGAAAATGCATGCTTCTGCAGTGGATAGAGAAAATATTCAAAAAATCAAAAGTAAATGCAATGCAAGAAGCATGTCATGCTCCATGCCAGGAAAGTGGACGGTTATTTTACCCTTATCTGTTGCAGAAGGATAATCTTCTACTTAGTTAATCTTACTTGTATAACATCCAACACAACAATCATATTTACATCACTCAACCATTACATACCTGAAGAGTTGATCTCCTGCCCAACAGGGACATCAAGGTATGATCCAATCATAAAGGTATTATCGGCATTGGATAGCCTCATTCCAGATCCATGATGATCAGCTTTCTCCTCCCACAGACTGTTGACTAACTTGTCTTCAGACTTCAGCCTTACAGGAGGCAGCCTTGGCAGTTCTTCCCTGTGATTTTCAACAATAACTGGTAAATCAAAATTCTTAAAACTTTTTGGTTCCACACTGTCTTGAGACTTTCCGGAAGTGTATGACCCACTCATCTCATCTGGCTGCTGTTTTGTTGACTCCCTAATGTCATCGTTATGGACGGTAAGTTTTAATGTCCTTTCATTAGCATGTCCACCATAACTTGACGAGGCATTATCAGTGGAAAATGGAAAAACTGTCTTCACAGAACATTCCTTCAAAGGATCCTCACTTTTCACCCACAGGTTATCAAGAAAATGGTCTTGAATGTCAGCAGAGTTGTCCTTATGATCACTAACTTGGCCGATTTCAGGCTTCACTTTAACCTCAGCTTTATCTTTGTACATAACATAAGCCCTTTGCTCTTCTGGCCGATCAGGTTCAGTACAAAAGACACGATCCCTCTTCTCCACCGCAAAAGAACCACGCCGATGCTTCGGTTCTTCTGAAATCAAGAGATCAGCAAAGTTGTCGATGGTGCCTGTATCCTTCAAAACCAAATTGGAAGTACTGCTAGTTGAACTAAAAATCCAAGGGTACAGATCTACTGAACCGCTTTCCCTATCCTGACCAAGGCCAAACCCCTTCTTGCTATCAAATCCATTTCCAATCCCTCCTACTTCAATCTCCTTGATAATGAACTCCTTCGAACTCTCTGCACTCACACTGCTAACTTCTCCAACGGTTCTTCCCACTTCTTCTTTCTCCTCGGCTAGATGCTTCTGAAGGAACCCACTCAAATCTGGCCGAGCATTGAGCTCCCCCCGCAATGCAGCTTCAGCCTTCGAGAACCGATTCTTCCTCAAGAATTCCAACACCACATCCACCGAGTCCACCATCTCCCAGAAAGAAGAGACCGCCTAACAAAAGCCTGCTAATCAACCAAAACGAGAGCAGAAAAGAGTTTCTTTTTATTTTCTTGCTCGTGCTTCCCTTCCCACCAAAAAAAAACAGATAGATCCTCAACAAATTGCAGGCAAAACCGTAGCCCTAGCTTTCAAGAACCACATTTTTTAAATGTAAAGAACCCACGGTCAGTGAATCCAGCGGCCAATCCACCTCGGGATCGGAGCCGGACACGAACCATGGAGTCCCATTCCGAACCCTAGCGTCCGGAACCGAGTGCCGGGGCGAAGGGAAGGGAAAAGGCAAGAGTTTTTTGAGCAAAGACGGGACGTGGGAAGAAGAGACTCACGGATCGAGGAGCCACGGGCAGGAGGCGGGCCCCGGCGACCTTCGGCGGTGGCGCTGAGGGGAGGCGAGGCGTTCCCGCGGCGGAGAGCAGCGGAATCCCGCGACATTAAGGGCGGAGGAGGAGGGGGATGGAGGTGTTGGAGGAGGACGGCATTTGGGATGGCTCGATTCGATTTGATTTCGAGGACTGCGCTAATTGCCGATCCAACAACAGCAACAGCAGCAGCAGCAGCAGCAGCAACGGAATATTATGTCCGAATAATTTTTATAATAATTTATGGCTGGCAGGCTTTTTTTTTTTTATTTCCGGGGAATTTTTTTAATGAATATTCCTTTTTAAAATAAACTCCTGATTTTTTTCTTTTTTAATTTTTTGTTTAAATAATTAAATAAATATTTTCCGTTTTTATTTTTTTATTTAATACTTTTTTCATCTCTAATACCCAAAATATCGATCGTCATGGTGCGAATTAACAATCTTCATTATGATTGAGATAGTTGAAGGGATACTAAATCTTCTTAAGAATTTCGATTACGAGAATCTTGGCCTAAAGGCTATTGAATAAATGTTATGAGTTAGATCGACGTTTACATGTAGTCAGGGTTTATACTTTCTTTTCTTTGGTTGAGTCGTTATGTTTGTAAACAATACTATAACTTATTTGAATTTAAAATAACTCATGATTAATGTCAATCCCTATAACAATGGATGTCACGATCAGAGTAAAAAAAGGAGGTGGTATGATTATTTAGGATATTAAAAAAAACACAAAACTTGGGCACTAGGAGCATTTTTCAAGAAAAATCATCCAATAATTAATAACCCATATTCCAGTAATACATTTTTATAGAAATAATTTAAACTAATTTTAGACTCAACCATCATTTCTTTGTTTGTAAACCAATGAATAATATGATATTTATATTTAAAATAATAGTTCAACATTACAATTATGTTCAATATTAATAGCACCTAACATTTTCATTAATGCGTTGAAATGTCCGAAGGATAGTAATATTTTTTAAATTAATCATAATTTGTCTTGTTTGAAGATGAATATTTTATCTTTCTAAATAAATAAATAATAGTTCAACATTAAAATTAACTCTAGGAACGTATCGATAACATCTAACACTTCGTCATGCGCTAAAATTAACTTGATATAAACGTAGGTAGGTAAACAAATAGATAGATTTTACTACTTAACAAGTTAAATGTTTCGTAGCAATCCTCAGTATCATCGTAGGGTTGTTTGTTTTAATCTCGTAATAAGATTCGATAAACACAACATTTTTGTCTCTACATTAATTGTTATTAAAAGGAAAGAAGACGTGGGCGACACCATTTATTAATTCATTATATATTATACTTATTTTCGATTCAATCTCTCTACATCTTGATGTAATGTATGATCGATTTGATCTCGAGATAGCAAAGAGGAAGATCTTATGGAATTGACTTGAGGTAGAACGCACTGCAGATGCAAACTCAGTGGCTTGCATCAACATCATGCTTGTCGATTAACCTCTTAGATTTGCATACAGAAAAGTAAGTGAGTCGTAGTTGCATAGATCCGATGCTATCTTTAGTTCACAGCTCTGCAGTTCCGGCGTATCTCTCCCGCAGAACCAGTGAGGGGGCTGATGCTGCCCATCTTGATCATGGAGATCACGAAGTCGCTGAAGAAGGCGCTGCTGCTGTTGCTGTAGATCTGCACCAGTCCCTCGGTGGCCGCCACCCCCTCGTCGCTCGAGAACAACCCCTGGTCCGACGACAGCAGTCCCTTCTGGCTCAGCAGGTTCTTGAAGTAGTGGTTGTCGAACACGTCGGTGGAGTTGCGGTCGAGCGCCGTGGTCGCGTTCCCGTCGCTGCTCTGTGAGCAAAGGCCCTGCAGGTCGGCCGCCATGCTGGAGTCCAGCGTCGGGTCCACCGACTCGGTCGTCGAGAAGTTCGACAACCGGTTGTTGAACGTCACGCACCGCGCGAGGCCGATCGTGTGCCCACCTGCATGCGCGTCCACATGAAGCTTCGCCATTAGGTCGAACACAAGAGCGGCAAGCTATATAAGATGCTGATCATAGAGTTGATGGCGAACCCGACAAGGCGACGACGTCGGTGGTGTTGAGGCCGACCGCAGCAAATTTGGTTATGATCGTGTTGATGGAGTCAAATGGAGAAGGAAGGTTACTGTTAGCTCCTGTTTGGTTGGCTACCAACCCGTCTCTTCTTCCAAGTAGGACTTTCCATGTAGGACCACCGCTCTTCATCCATGCAGACCCATGAATTCATGGATAGCGATCCACTCTCGCCAAGAAGTATTACATATACCGAGGAATGCGATGGAGGACTTACCAACACGACCGAGTCTCTTGCTGCTATGGCAAGTATGTCTGCACACGAAACAGTTCCATTGCACTCATTCTCCACAGCCGTCTTTATGCTGTCGACGACATCGAATCCCCTCGCGGAGTTTATATTCGGGAAAGCAAACTTCTCACCATCACTCCCATCCAGTAGAATCGAGCCATCGCATCCCTGCATGACGAGGGAAACACATCACCCTAGAGTAGTCGTAGAATCAAATAATACAATAGAGTTCAAAGCTCACATTCACAAAGCAATCATGGAAGTGGAGCCTAAGAAGAGAAGCTGCCATCCTCATCTCATTCTTAAGGGCATTAACAACCACACGTCGCACCACCTTGAACACATTGGGGCAGCTCGTAACATAGAAATCAGTGGTCAACTGTGAGCTCACACCCGTGCTCAGACACAACACCATCAAAACCACGAAGAGCGAAGGGCTGCAAGTAGTATATGTGAAAGCCTTCATCTTCTCTAGCTGTAAACACACGACACGATGGCGAGTTCCGGTTCATGTTATACTGGGATAACTTGGATTGATATTTATAGAACGAACGAAGAGAATAAGCAAGCAATGTAAAATGGAGGATGTGCTTACTTTTGCTTTGTGGATCGAGGTGGGGCGAGCGTAAGCTCGCATAAACTCGGGTTGTAATGCGGTCCTCTTGGATTAGGGAGTAAAATAAGGTCCACAGAAAGGAAGATAGAGATCAGGAGAGCTGGTTTCTTGCCATCTTCCACTGGTTCATGTAGTGGTGCTACATTTATCCAAAATACTTAACAAGTTAGTGCCCTGAAAAGATCAACGCTGGGTTGCTTTGGCTGCGGGTTACGTATACGATTTGGCAGTAGCATGTTGCAAACGTGCTTTGAATAGTTCCATCACGTTTCGGATATCTACTGCAGCCATGCAAAAGCTTTTCTGCTTCTTCTTCGTATCTTTTATGCTATCTTCACTTTCCGTGACTACCGGTGCTAAGATTAAATGGTTGTGCCTTAGTCGTAACCTTAGGATCCATGTAAAGCTTAAACCAATAGAAATCGAATCAACTTAACTCATAAGCTACTGTAATAACATGATGAGATTTGAGTTGCATCACCATTAAGCTTAAGCTGACAGAAAGTATACCTCGCATTTAAGTTCCACAGGGCATTAGAGAAATCGTGCTGGATAATATGGTCTTTGACAAGAGGGTATTTGCCGTGGAAGAATTGTAGTTTGGTATGACTGATAATTTTAGTTATTTATATTTATTACGATCACCCTCCAACAATGTCGCTTTGGCCGAGTGGTTAAGGCGTGTGCCTGCTAAGTACATGGGGTTTCCCCGCGAGAGTTCGAATCTCTCAGGCGACGAATCAATAATTTTTAAAGCATAATTTTTTCCCCTAAACCCATATGCCTAATCCTGACATCCATTTCTGCAATTCGAGATTGGTAGTGATGTGATCACCAAAGGTGGTCTTATTTGCTGTTTTTTTATACAAGGATTAATTTGTTTCATTTATGGAATAAAATCTCGTTTATACGTTTAAATGTTTGGTAAATAGAGCATGATTTTACTATTGTAGTTTTATGTTCTTAAGGTTGGCGACGCTCTAATTAAACATCACCGAGTTTCCATGAGTGAACATATTTTAAATGTTAATGATGTCTTAAATAGAACATCAAAATGTTTCTATAAATATTACCTTTAATCATTATATTGACCAAAATGTTTCAACGTTCCCAACATCAAAATTCAAATCCACCCGCCCGTTGCGACCCGACCCCACCCCAACTGCTGACAACTCCGCAGTCGGACACCAACGCCTCATTCAAATCCACTTTAACTCCTATAACAATTCCGATTCCCGCTCATTTCTCACCAGCTTCCCTCTTTGGTGTTGAAAAGGCGGCCACTCCCCCCTCGCTCGTCCTCTCGTCTCATCCTCTGCCTTCGCCGAAACCCTAGCCCTTTCCGCCACCCAACTCCGATCTCGCCTGATCTGATATATGGCGATGACCACTGCGGCGGAGGAGAGGCGGTCCCGGCGGTTGAAGAGGGTGGCCGCGGCGGACGGAAGTGTCGGTGCCGCAGAGCCCTCTGAGTCCGGGAGTAAGAGGAAGAGACGCGCCACCGGGGCCGCTGTCGTGGCCCCGGTCCTGCATCAATCGGCGGAGACGGGGCGCGGGGAGGGCGAAGAAGAGGTATGTTATCGAGCCGAGGATGAGGAGGAGGAGATGGAGAGTAAGGAGGAGTGTGCTGAGAGTCGGAAGCAATCGCCGAAGAAAAGGATGGGGCATAGCAAGAAATCCAAGAACGAAGAGCGGCCGGAGAGCTGCTTTGTTGGGAATCCTATTCCGGAGGCTGAAGCTAAGAAGCTGTGGCCGGAGAGATACCAAAGGAAGGTACGTCGAAGGCGATAAATTGTTTGTTTATACGACCGTACAATAATTGGGTAGACGTTTTACAGTTCTTTTATTGACGATGATCGCTAATTTTGTGTTTCTGTGGCAAAAAGCGGGCTTCGTCCAATGGAAGCGCAAAAAGGTGAAAACGTGGAATCAGATAATTGTGATTACTGCATTCTCATTATTTTCATTCAATGTTGCTGCTGACACTCTTAATGCAGGGCGGATGATGAACAACTCTTGAGAGCTAAGTGTCATTATCGCGAGGCCAAGGTGGATGGCGTCTCATACAAACTTGATGATGATGCATATGTCAAAGTGAGTGATGTGATAATTTTTGCTGCGATTCTGTTTGTTTAAACGTTTTTAACTAAATTTATTGTGGTCTGATCGGTCTCATCATGTTCTAGTAAGCTTCTTAAATCTCATGACACATCATTTGGGATTTGTACATCTGTGCGCTTCCTTAAATTTTTGTTTCGTAATAATTGAATATAAACCATAGGTTAACCCCAGAATTTGTCATCCTATTTTTGTCTTCTATCGCATTTATAGATAGTTAAAAATCTGTCTTAATATTCAAATACATATACTTTGGTAATTGCTATTGTTCTATCTGAGGTTCCACAATGTTGTATGATTGTAGTTACATCATTCAATCGAAATTCTAGACCTGACAATATGAAATTTTCTGGTGGTTGGAATCGAAAGTGGGAGATGTGGTGATCTACAGAAGAGCCAGTGATGGTCATGACACCTTTGCTCGATCATTTTGGGGAATGAGATGGATGGCACTGTCAAAAGTGGTGATGATCAAGGTGGCAATTGGAAGGATAATTGTTGACACTATGGATGACAACATCTCTCGTTGGTTTTTTAGTATTTGCTGCAGGTGGATACGAAGTTAGGATTGTGCAGTTTGACAGGTGAAGGTTGTGGATTGTGATGGTGGGAGTGATGAATGCAGGATAGATGGTAATGGTCCGATGGATAGGTGGTTATTATTAAAATTTGATATGGCTGTGTTGAGCAAGAAGTGCAGTGGCAATCGACAAACTTATCCACAATGTTTAGGGCTTGTAATTAGTGTAATAGTTGTAGTTTGGATGGGCTGTGAAAGTGGGTGTCAAGATGGATATTCTGATTGTTTGACTCTATTTATAAGCAATCTGCAATTTGGGTTTTAGGTGTCAAGAGAAAACTCAATGGTCAATATGCTGTCAAATGAAACCTGTGATTCTGATTGTGGGCTCATGTTTGATTGCAAGTGAAAATAAAATTACTTTGTACTATGGCTGTCCCAGTGGCAAAAACCTAAACCACATTTTGTGACTCTTTAGTTCTGTACCTTCATTGGCATTTTTTTTAATGTTTTCTTTAATCTTTACAACGTACTAATAGATTTGTATTAGTGTTAGAAACACATTTTCAATATTAGTTTGTATTTGACTGAAGTTTAAGGAAGCTTTTCTTTGCATATGTTGGATACATATATTACCCATCTCGTTAGCAAAATTATTTGTTTCGGGGTCAGATATTGTAATGTTTGTAACAGGTAGTGTGGTCCAACTTTGCTCTTTTCTAGATATCATTTCTATTTATTTTCTTAAGTTGATTGTATAATGTCTATTTTTAGGCAGCTGAAGGAGAGCTTGACTACATTGGACGTATAGTTGAATTTTTTGAAACAACTGACGGGGAACTATATTTTACTGCTCAGTGGTTTTTTAGAGCAGAAGATACAGTGAGTAATTCTAGTTTTTCTGTTTCATCATAATCTGAAATTGGTCCAAAGCATTGTAGATTCTTTTGGTCTTTAGGTTATGAAGGATCATGCATGTTGTCATGGTGCAAAAGTTGTTCATGATCCTCGAAGAGTTTTCTTGTCAGAGGAGAAAAATGATAATTTGTTGGATTGTATGGTTTCCAAGATAAAAATTGAACGTGTGGATCCAAATGTAAGTTTAAGCATTTCCCTACCAATCCTTGTGCCTCTGTAGTGTAGTTTTTGATAGACTTACAGTGTTTATTGTTTTGTCATAGATCAATTTGGAGGTCAAGAAAAAAGGCATTCCTTCTTGTGATCTTTACTACGACATGTCATACTCTTTGGCATATTCAACTTTTGCAAATTTACCAGGTGATAATGTAGTCTTCTCAACATATAAGTATTTTTCTATGTTCATAGTTCCATTAATCAGAATTTGTTGCTAACTATATGTCAAAATACCACTAGAAAATGATAGGGCGGCCAGTGGATCATCATCCACTATGTCATCATCAGATCCCGATTCTCCATCTTTTAGGGAGAAAAATGTAGTTACATTGCTTGACCTGTATTCTGGATGTGGTGCAATGTCCACTGGTCTATGCTTGGGTGCGAATTTGTCTGGCATAAATCTCCAAACGGTGAGTCAAACTTGATAAATTATGCTTGACTGGCATCTAATGCAAATTCATGTTTAATTTTGCTTTCATGTTGCAGCGTTGGGCTGTTGATTTGAATCAGTATGCTTGCCAGAGCTTAAAGTTGAACCATCCTAACACTGAGGTATTCATGGTCTGCCATTTTATTTCAAGGCATTGTTTGGACAGATGCATAGCCAGCTTCCATCTGGATTGAGAATAATTTATTTCATGTTTCTACATAAAATAATTACGCTATAATTTTCATGACATGCATTTCTCGTGTGGTTGGTTTGCAAGGTAATTGTTCCTAGCTAACACAAACATGTTGTAGGTGAGGAATGAGAAGGCTGAAGATTTTTTGGCTCTTTTGATTGAGTGGGAAAAATTGTGTGAAAAATATCATGTAATTGGAAATCAAGTTAAAGAGGAAATTGATTCTAATGGTTTGGATGGTGAGGAGCTTAATGATCCCAAGGTGCCAAATGATGAATTCGAAGTTGATAAGTTAGTTGGAATTTGCTATGGTGATCCCAGTGACATTGGTAAAATTGGATTAAAGTTTAAGGTAACACAAAGTTGACAATTTTTGAATCTTATTTGAAATTTGGATGACAATTTATATATTCTTGTTTGAGAACAATGTCAATATCTTCTTTCTTTTAGGTTCGTTGGAAGGGATATGGCCCTAGTGATGATACTTGGGAGCCTGTAGAAGGATTAAGGTACTAATTTAACTTAGAGATTTTTGGACTTTCTTGCCCATATCTAATTGTGTATTAATATACCAGCAAATGCGAAGAGAGAATCAAGGATTTTGTGAAGAATGGCTACAGCAAGGGCATTTTGCCATTACCAGTAGGTTTTTTATTTTTCTTTCTTTCTATGAGGCTTTGGATATGGTCAGAATATAGTCTCCATTATTTTTCTTTCTGTTCCTACTAGGGTCAAGCTGATGTGGTTTGTGGTGGACCTCCATGCCAAGGGATAAGTGGATTTAACCGATTTAGAAACAAAAATGCTCCATTGGAGGACCCAAAAAATCAACAGATGGTTGTTTTTATGGATATTGTTGAGTTTCTCAAACCAAAATATGTCCTTATGGAGAATGTTGTTGACATATTAAAGTTTGCACAAGGCTTTATGGGAAGATATGCTTTGAGTAGGCTTGTTGCCATGAATTATCAAGCAAGGCTTGGTATGATGGTTGCTGGATGTTATGGCCTTCCTCAATTTCGGATGCGGGTGTTTCTTTGGGGTGCTTGGCCAACTAAGGTTTGTTTTTTCTTGTCTCAGCTCTATCATGTCATTTAAATAACACATGAGCACTTGGCTGTAGATGTTGCCCCAATTTCCATTACCGACCCATGATGTGATTGTTCGTGGGGGAGCTCCTAACGAATTTGAGGTATGTCTCAGAAAACAACTTATCTCCATACTCTTATGTCGGATCTTACTGATATCTTGTTTTTCTTGTAGCAAAATATCGTTGCATATAATGAAAATGAACACCCTGAACTTGAAAGAGCTTTACAATTGGAGGATGCTTTGTCTGATCTTCCACCGGTAAATATTTATTATTTTGATTAGTTTATCAGTTTAATACGTATTTAGTTTGTATGTAACTAATTTATCTTTTTTATTATTGGCATCAAGGTTACGAATTACGAAGATAGGGATGAGATTCCCTATGGTAAAGCAGCAAAAACAGAATTTCAACAGTTTATTCGTCTCCCCAGAAGTGGTAGGTTGCAATTACTTGTAATTGAAAATAAATAACAAGAAATGGTATAATACTAATCAAATAGTTATTTTTAGATTTCAGGTGGTATTGGAATAAGGATAATATGAGTGACTTTTACAACTCGGATAAAGATTTTTCATACATGTTTTGTGTTAAAAAAACACCTCATTTTGTTTTGTTGGAAGAACTAAACAGAAATAGTTTGCCCAATACCTAGAAAAGAAAGGTTAAATAGTTTCTTTTGCACATTTTTTCTTGAATTCTCTTTTGTTTTTTCTCAACTTAACTTTTCAGAAAGAGATTACATTTGTTTTTCATGGTTTCCAAACTCAAGAAAAGCAAAATAATAGTTTTTATCTATGTATATATGGCAAATAATAGGAATTAGCAGCAAAACTTGACAAAAGTACAAAGGAGAGCCAATTTTACTATTAGTCACAAAAAAAAAATCAGAAAAGCAAAGAATTTTGTTGACTATTATTATTAGTTTTCGATTGCACTTTTTATTGAAATAGCTTTATTGGTTTTGCACAACTAATGAAATTTACTTTATTGTTTATGTAGCGCTAATGAATTATAGCCCTCGTGTCAAAGCAACAGATATGCATCAACTTTTTGATCACAACCCGTTGCAATTAAATGATGATGATTATCAACGGGTTTGCCAAATACCAAAGAGGAAGGTTTGCCCAATATTATCTAAATTTTTGGATATGTGGTTGTTTATCATCGGAGATCATACGATAATAACCACTTTTGTCTCAAAAAATTAAATGTAGGGTGCAAATTTCAGGGATTTGCCTGGTGTTGTGGTTGGTCCCGATAATATCGTCGAGTGGGATCCAAATGTCGAAAGAGTTATATTGCCATCAGGGAAACCTTTGGTAATCTCTAATATGGATTTGAACTGTCGGTTTGCTTTATAATTTCTGCCGAAAATAATATGAATCCTTGCTGCAGGTTCCCGACTATGCTATGTCTTTTATTAAAGGAAAATCTTTGAAGTACGTTGTCACCCAATTGACTCTACTACATATCATTATTTAGTTCCACTCAATTTAACGTTGGATTTATTACAGGCCTTTTGGACGATTGTGGTGGGATGAAACAGTTCCTACAGTCGTAACCAGGGCTGAGCCTCACAACCAGGTACCCGTTCTTGCATAACTGGGAACAATTTTTGTTCAATGCTTTAAAGTTATTGTAATAGTAGTCATGCTGTTAGGTGATTCTGCACCCAGAGCAAGATAGAGTGCTCTCAGTTCGAGAGAATGCCAGACTTCAAGGATTTCCAGACTTTTACAAACTTCAAGGGCCTGTAAAAGAACGGTAAATCTTCTTTTGTTTCCTTGTTTTGCATTATTAATTTTTATCGGCATATTGTCTGTCCATACAGGTTGACATTTATCATAATACTTGCTATAGTTTCTTTCTGCATATTGTAATGACATTTTCTTTAGTAAATTGGGAAAGAGCAAACCACAAGTTTTTTTTTTTTTATTTTAATTCTTATCTTGGACTATTAAAAGTTAAAACAGTAAAAGTACGCATATATCAAAATCTGTCTCAATAATGTTGGTGACAAACATGAAATGTGAGCGTTTGCCTGCTTAGGTACATTCAAGTGGGAAACGCTGTTGCTGTACCAGTTGCTCGAGCATTGGGTTATGCTCTGTGCCAGGCATTGAAGGGTCAATGTAGCGCTGAACCTTTGTTCATTCTCCCCAGAAAGTTTCCTACAATAGATCGCGGATCCTCTTCCACACCCAAGGAACCTACAGATGGCGTGTAGGGGTTCCATATCGGCGTCTTACACAGACAAATTATGCTGTTGTCTTCTGATTGTAGGGATAAAAAGCTTGTCCCTCTTGAACTTGTTATCTTTTATCTTCTTACTGTGTAATGTTGTTTGTATTACAGTGGATTAACCATTTTGATCGATCTCTTTCGTGTGGATCAGAGGAAACATCGGATGCTTTATAGCTTTCTTGTACCAATACAACATCAATGTTTAAAAATGAATTTCTGAAAAAAAATTATTTTTTAAAATATTGTACTGAGAGTCTCTATTTAAATTTTTTTTGAAATAGTTACCATTGTTACTGATCACTTCGTTGTTTGTTAACTTCGTCGGCTGCCTTGAATTGTTATTTGTAACTTTTGTTATGGTCGTTTGTAGATTTTGATCGTTTTTTTTTGGCTTTCGTTGTCATTGTTAAGGACTCACTTCTCTCTTCGTTTATAGTTCTTATCGTTACTCGTAAGTCTTCCTTGTATTATTGATCACAGGCAAGAAAGAAGAGGGAGTGATCGCTTGCTTGGAAATGCTGTTTAGATGTCGACCAATAAAAGAGTAAGTAAATTAGTGTTTTCGCATATCTGTATACTGTTTAGATGTTTTACAAAAAATGTTAGTGTTTTACAAAAAATTTCAAAAAGTATAATTTTTATTTTAGATGCACTCAAAAAGTCGTGCCCGCTATTTTTCAATCAGGTGCCGAAAACACATTTTTATTGGCTCCATTTATGAGATTATTGCTGCAAATTATATGATTTTAAATGCAATCAAATAATTTTCAGAAAACATGAATGGTAGATTGAGTGATAATGGCACCTGATTCATTCTCTTGATATGTGAGATAGAAATATAATAATTATGTTGATATTTGTGAATCCGAAAATGGTAATATAATGCTCGAGAGACATATTGCATTGGAAATGCTGAAGCTGCCTCATGTAGTATTAACGTTTTAATATTTATGAGATACTAATATAATTTTTAAAAAAATTAAATATCTTATAACATTATCAAATATTATAAAATTACTAAAATAATTTAGTAAGAAATAAACATGATTTATATTTCTATAAGATAAAATTTATTTATTTATATGGATATATTTTTATGTATTCTATATTTTGGCTGTACAATTTTTTTTAAAGATTACATGTATATATATATATATATATATATATATATATATATATAATTTTGAATAAATATTAAAAATATTAGAAGGATAAATTTGTCATCAAAATTTTAATTGGATTTTAAAAATATAATTTTACCGAACAATAATTAAGTCAATCCAAATATAAAATATATCTATTATTTAGTAAACATTATTCATAGCATTCTATCACTGTACTGTACGTACATTCAAATCCTGTCTCCGACTACTGCATGCCCAGAATGTAAAGATGTTCCCAAAGTGTTATTTTGATCACAGTACAGACAAGGGAACTACCAAACGATAGCTCCTCTTGATGCAAGCGTACGACCAAACGGAAGAAATCATCTCCTGCTGACCAAAAAAAAAAAATATGCATTGTTTCTGATCCCTACAACACAACAACATAGGTGGAAGCAAAAGAAGTATGGAGTCTCATTCAAGATCTCTCGACAATGCCGATCACAGGTGCAAATCCAGACTCACGGTCTCCTTCGCACTGGGCATCAATTGGTGAGCAAATTGGTCTTTCGGCGACGCAGGAGGAGTTCCATGAGCATTACCGTCCGAGCCGACACCTCCTCCAACTCCTATTAATCGTGGCTCGTTATCTCCTCTGAACATGGGGGAGGGCATGCGAGAGTCCCCATGGATCGCCCCTATCCTCGCTCCTCCGCCATGCATAACTCCGGGGACTCTCCAGATCCCTGGCAATGGGCTGCCATCGATGGGTTGAGACAGCGAACCAAGCCCGCCGTGGAAAAAGGCACCGAAGCTGCCATTAAGAGCGTCGGTAGCGTGCCATGAAGGGTAGTGCGGAGCCGAAGAGGGCTCGATGGCGAAGCGGGCTGCAGAGGACGACGGTGGACCAAGACAGTGGTGGTAATTGAAGAGGCCGTGGACGTGGTGGGCGTAGATGGCCGCCTGGTTGTGCTGGGCTGCGGCCATGGCTGCGGACTGGAGATACGCCCGCTTCGCGTTCTGGCGCTCGCGCTTGTGCGCGTTCTGGTGCCCGCCGAGCGCTTGCGACGTCGGGAAATGGCGACAGCAGTAGTGGCACTCGAACCTCCGTCCACTCCCGCTGCCTCCGTTGACGGTGGTGGTAGCGGCGCTACTCGTGATGGCGGTGTTGTCCTTGGAGGCGTCGTCTTCCACGACGTTGGGGTGGTGTGGGACTTCGATGCCGAACAGGCGGATGCCGGAAGTGGTGGTGGAAGGCTTGGGGGCCGGGCGGATGAACGGGAGCTGGGAGAACGAGTCAACGCTCATCAAGTCGCGTGCCTCGTGCTCGCTCATCGTCGCCGCTGCTGTGTAGAATGTTGAACCAACTTTTCTTCTTCTTCTTCTTCTTCTTTTTCTTCTTCTTCTTCTGTCTGTCCTCTATTGGTTTTGGTTTCTAGGAAAGNGAGAGAAGAGAGAGAGAGAG